TTTTTTTTTTTTTTTGGTACCGGGGATTGAACTCAGGACCTTGCGCAAGGCAGGTGGCAGAACCACTGAGCTAAATCCCCGGACCAACTGTCTTTTTATATATTCTCTTCAAATTCAGAAGTTTCTTAAGTAACTGTGTCCAAAATATTTTTATTCTTATTTTGTCTATACCATAGTAAATTTCATAGTGGCCCCTCCGTAAACATGTTTGAGCATTTTCCCAGTGAGCCTCACAGCTAATTCCAGGTTTTTTTTTTTATAACCTGTACACATGGACAAAAATATCCATGGGGTAATGTTTACTTTGTCTCTCTTTAATTAGCATGCTAGGAACTTATTCTGATGAGTTTGGGAACTTAGATTTTGAGCGATCCCAGCATGGTTCTGGAATGAGCAACAGGTCAACAGCAAAAAGATTTATTTCTGCTCTCAACAATATTGCTGAAAGAACTTACAATAATTTGTTTCAATTTCATCAACTTCGGCAGATTGCCAAAGAACTAAACATTCAGGTATGATAATTTAAATATTTAATAAATCTTTTGTGGTAATAAATTTCAAGAATCTTTATAAATGTATAGAACAAAAACAATTTTCTGTTTACTTAGGATTCATACCTACTTCTTCTCAAAGAGTTCTGTATCTTGATAGCTAGAAGGAAGCACTGTAGCAAGATTCAGTCTCCAAGTTTTCCTAACAGTGCCTGGGGACGAGTCATACCAACATCTTTGAGCCTTAGTTTCCTTGTCTATTAATGGACATGATTCCACCTGCTCTTCCTATGTCACAGTTCTAGTGAAAACTGATACAGCAGCATTCTAAACATGTAAAACAGTCTATATGGAAATCACTTAATTTCAAAAGCTGGTATAATTTTTGTTTTTAAGCTAAGCTACAAATGAAATTCTGTGCATACTGGCACTTTTGTTTGGGCATTATTAAATCCAAAGCTCAAATTCGGGCAGTTTACTCTGTAAGAAGTACAAATAATTATATTCCCTAAGAAAGTTGACAGGTGTGTATTACTGTTTGAGTAATGTTAAAAGTTGTATTTTGGGGGCTGGGGATTTAGCTCAGTGGTTCCGCTGCCTGCCTCGCAAGTGCAAGGTCCCTAGTTCAATCCCCAGTACCAAAAAAAATGTTATTTTGGCATGTTTGTTACTGGAATAACTGTTTTGATGTTTTCTTGTAGGTTGCTGATTTTGAAAATTTCATTGGTTCACTAAATGACCAGGGATACCTCTTGAAAAAAGGCCCAAAAGTTTACCAACTTCAAACTATGTGAAAAGACTTTTATCAACTCAGGACCTTCTGGGTTTATTGCCATCTTAAGTTGTCTCAATAGTGAACACTATGCCAAAAAAAAAAAGTTTCTTGAAAAATGTTGTTCCGAAAGTAAATAGGAAAAAAGTGTTAAGATTTGGTCAACTAATTTAAAAATTAAAATGTCCTATGCTGTTAATGTTTTATAACTTCTCCCAAAGGCTAAAAATAACTTATTTTTTTCTAAATGATATACATTATTTATGGTTATACTTTTGACTTATTTGTATGAATATTTCATAGTTCTTCATATCAAATGTTCATCAGGGTAAGCATTCAGATAACATCTAAACAAATGAGTATGTCTGTGTGCCAATAAAACTTATTCAACATGGAAATTTCAATTTCATAAAATTTTCACTAAAGTATAAAGTATTTTTACTTTTTTAACCATGTACTGTAATCATTATAGCCAGTGTGTCTGATTTGGCCCCTAGTCTATAGTTTGCAAACAACAGAAACTGATGAAGCAGGAAAAGGAGTTTTTGGAGGAATTCTGGTAGCTTACAGAGTTGTAAGAAGGGTGGTAGCTAAGTTTCCAGGAGCAATTCAGGGCTGCAGAGGCTAACACCCTCCTGCCACACAGATCCGTAGAGGAAAGTGCTCTTGCCTTGGGGCCAGCGATGTCACTTCTGGACAGGAACCACTGCCACCATGGAAAGGCAAAAAAAATGCCCCACCCACACAAGGATAACAACACAAGGATTCTGCCTGGGCCTCTGTGAAGTGCTGAATTCAAGTGAGAAGTCTCATCCAGAAACATTTGAAGGAGGCCAGGTTATATGCCCCTTTTCGGGGATGCTAGGAGTTTTCCCAGTTCTATTTCTATAAAGCCAGAATTACCCATGTTTTGTGAGAGGATTCAAATGGAACTGGGCTACCAGTCAAACTCATGTATGGAACCAACACTTTATCATATAAGAACTCAGGCATAGGAACCATTGTTGGAAAATGTATACTAGAAAAAAAACGCAAATACACTGAGTATTAAATCAAAATAAAAGTATTGGTCTTCCATTGAATATATAATCAATAGTAAGGCTAAAACTAAAATAGATGTAGGTTTACTGCCACAATGTATAAATTAAAACCTGATTTTATTTTTTGGTACCAGGGATCGAACTCAGGACCTCGCGCTTGTGAGGCAGGTGGTGGAACCACTGAGCTAAATCCCAGCCCCTATGTCTTTATTCTTTAAATGCTAGGGTGGGGTTAAAAGTATTTAAAGCTGATGAATTTATTAATAAAATTAGTATATTTTGCAAGGCAGTACTTCGATATCAACCAAATAACAGTAGTAGCCATGAAAGAAAGGAAATACAGAAATTCATCATTGTTCAAAGAGGAAATAAGGATCTTTCAGACCTTCGTCTAAAAGTTCATTACTATTTAATGTTATGGGGGGAGCCTAATTAGAAGACATTGATATGTTTTCTTAGATTATGTATTTGTCTACAGCTGCTAATCACAGGACCAAACAGCCAGTGTTTCTCTGGAATACAGCCACAGGCCCAAACATTTATGTTTCATTTCCTGCTCAAGAAAGGGCCTCCTCACCTGCCAATTTGCCACCACTACAGGGATAAAGGCTCTGGCCTAGGTTCCCTCTCATTCCTTCTGCCCACTCCCCCTTGCCAGGATTATCCAGAATCAATGTCTGAATGAGAATTATAGATGTCTGATTCCAATGACTGTTGAAAAGCAAAATTATCCTTTTTACATTGCTAGTAAATTTTTAGTGTTCCAATATTAGTATTTCAGTATGTGCATAAGAAATTCAACATAGTCTTTTGATAAAATGCTCACATCTACAATTATATTCAGCTTCAACTTTTAAGATGATCTTAAGGTGGGGATGTTGTTATAGACAGGGCTGGAGGGGGACAGTGGAGAGGAGGCAAGAACCATGCCTATTCAGTTTGACGCTGGCTAAGTGGTAGAGCACTTGCTGCTTCTAACAAGTGCAAGGCCCTGGGTTCAGTACCCAGCACTACCAAAAGAAATTTTCAATTTGATACAGGAGTTATAAGTTTATCAACAATATAATGCATTAATACTGAATATAAAATAATGATGAGCTGATTCTTATTTTAACCTTCTAAGCCCGTTTCCTTACCTAAAAACCTAAAGGTAATACTGGAACCTAAAGTTGTGGGAGAATTAAATAGGATGATGTGCTATAGCTTAAATAGTACGCACTCTTTCCAGGTAAAAGTGCTACTACTGATATTTTCTATTATTTTTATCATATGCATCTTCATTTAATGCTCAAAAATAACGAAAGGAGCAGAGCACTAGTCCTTTTCACTTCTATACCAAACATGTGACTAACGTTTTAAACCTGGCACAGGACTCTAGTACACAACTAGTTGGAGGCGGGGTGCTGGTGGCGGGCCTCAGGTTTCAGGCCGGGGCCTGGCTGACTCCTGCCCCCTCCCGCCACGTCAGCGCGCAGCCATCGGGCGGCGCTCGACCCTCTGTCCCTTGCCATCCTCCCGACCCGGCCCCCGGCTGCAGGCAGGCAGAGCAGCGCCGCACACCGGCCACCTCTGCAAAGCCCGGCTCACGCCTCGCGCAGCCGCCGGGGGATGGGGGGGGGGGAGGCCGGGCAGCGTCGGCGTCGCAAAAGCGTCGCGAAGGCATCCTTCCTTGGCGGCTCCAGGCCACCATAAGCGGAGCGTGTTGGGGTTGAAGCCAGCATGGAGGCGGCGGCGGCCGTGCTTCTGCGGGACATGGAGAAGCGGCCGGCCGGTGCCCGGCGCTGCTGAGTTCGCGTCGCCCGTGTCCCTGCAGGGCTATGCTGACTTGGCGCGTGGCGCGCGGGCCGTGGGGGGCCCTATGTAGGACGGCGTGGGCGCGGGGGGCGCGGCCGGGCCGGGGGCGCGCTCTCGGGGCCCTGCTGCCCGCTTCCGGCTGCCTGGCGGAGCGCCAGTGGCTGCGGCCGGCCGCGCTCGGCCTGCGCCTGCTGGGGCCCGGCGCGCGGCGCCACGGCTCGGGCGCGGGGAAGGCGGGCCCGGGTCCCGCGGCAGAGGGCGGCGCCGCGGCGGAGGCCCTGGGCGGCCGGTGTGGCCCCGCGAGCGCTGCCAGCGCGGTACGTATCGAGGGGCGCTGTGCCCCGCGACGTGAGTTAGGGGAAGGTCACTCGTGTCGTGCCAGCCGCGGTGGTCTCCAGACCCCACTCTCGCCCCTCTCTGCACCCGTTACTGGAAGGGCCTCTGCACCTTACATCGGTAAAAAAAAAGTCTCCGCTAGTCTTATTAAGTCTATTTTTAATTTTCTGAAGCGAATCCTTTATGTGTGGGGCACAGAAAAATGGCCAGGTGTATGCTTGTGTAGGTTTGGTTCACCATGATTGTGACCTGTGGTAACCTTACCCGTTAGGACGAAGGACAGTTACATAGTTTAGGTGATAAATGAATCTTTAACCTTGAGTTATAGGAAAAAAATTAAACTGTTCTTGGGTAACCGAAGTACTGTGTTTGTCCATGTACCTGTTGAAACCCTTCCCAGGAAAGACACCGGAGCGTGAGTGTTGGGATAGCTTTTGATGTCATGGTAGAAGACCCAAGCAATTGTTACATCTTCAATTGTTAGGTCTTCAGGGGTCCCCTGTCCTGCTCGCCTCAGTCGTACAGTATGGGTTGAGGTGGCCTCATCCTGGCTCCACTAATAGCTAAAACATGTTGGGGTTTGGTTGCTGGGTGCTTTGAAGTTGCGCTCATTCTGGCTGATGAAGTACTTCACGGAGCGGCAGTAGTTGGAGTATGCCACAGGTTATCTGGTTGGGTAATCTGGATTAGCTCTCCTAATATTAACTTTGAAACTTTTACAGATTTAATAATTAAAATTAATGAGATGCTTTAACCGAAGTATTTTTTATGGCGCTCAAGAGAACTTTCACTGTTCAACAACATTCAGTTCTATTTATTCAAATGAAATAGTGTGGCTGTTTGTAACCTTGGGTTTAATTTTGGCTCCTTAGATATCTCCAAGATTAATTCTGGGGCTCTTGTTCTGACCTTTTGCTTTTCTTATCCCACTTTTTCAGTCTTCAACTGCTTTTCCCTTCCCCTGCCCCACCTGTGAGTTGCTGATAACACTGGGTCAGTGCTGTGTTTGACTTTCTTTGTACTACTGTGTAGTCAACAGACTTATCTGATACTCTGATCTTTGAATTTGAATTGGAAATATATTGAGAAGTTTTCATATAATTATCTGAAATGGATCTACTCTCAATAAAAGATCCCCTTTGTAGTGCTGCTTTGGTGTTTGTCACAGGGAGTTTGAAGTAATTCTGTAGTTTAAGGTGGTATCTGCCACCTCCAGCAAAAACCATCCCATTATACCTCTGTAAACTCAAGTGCCATCTTTCTGGGCTTGTTTATAAACACAAACTTGGTGTTTTTAGAGAATGCTTTTTCTTACAGGATGCCTCATGGAATTTTAAAAGATGCCTTTAGAAATTAACTGCCACTTTTTTTCTAAAAGGTTACTAATTTAAGGTTTGGGCAAGTTGGTTACTAATTTAAAGAGGTTAAGTAGGGTTAATTCTTTGAAGAGAAAGTCCCCTGGGTGGATGTGCCCATGGAGGGGGGAAAAAAAAATCCAAGTTTTAGGGAAAAACTTTTCTGTTTCTGTACCCTTTTTTGCAGGCTGTTTTAGCTTGCTAGGGTGAGGCTTTCTAAAGTTGAAATCACCCTCTCAGAATCAGATAAGGTTTGGCAAGGAGGGGTTGTTCTTCAGCTGTCAGCCCTTTTGTGAGTTCCAGCCGCCAACAGCTTGGCTCTAGATGAAGTTTCAAGGAATCAAAGCTCCCCATATGGCAGCTGTGGAAATCCTCGGTTTCTAGTTGTGTGTCTTGACATTTCCATGGCTGTTTTGAACAGATTTACTCAATTTTTCTTTATTTTCAGATATTCAAGTTTCTATTCCTATCTTCATTTTCTTCCAGTAATTCTCTGATTTAGTGATGAGGTTATAGAATTAAATCAGTTTCTTCTTATTTTTAACCTTCATAGATTCTGTGTGGCATTTAGCATCCTTTTGATGGATATATATAGGGGAGGGAGAGAGATTGTTGGTTATACATGTTTCAAACCAAAGGGAGGTTGATAATTTGGCACTTTTTTCCCTGACATTTTCTAGATTTTTATCTACTTACAAGATTGTTCAGAAGTTTCTTTTTGGTGTTTTGTTTTTTGAGACAGAGTCTCGCCATGTTGTTCAGGCTGGGCTCAAACAGAGATCCTCCTGCCTGAGCCTCCCAAGTGCTGGGATTACAGGCGTGCACCACCACACCCAGTAGAAGTTTAATTTTTAAAAGAATGTGAAAGAGTTGAATTTTAATGAAGTCTATCCTAAAGGCTTAACTTAATTTGAGCTTACAGTATTTCATTTAAATTTTGTTGTCTTTGTGTTTCAGTATGAAAATCCATGGACAATTCCAAATATGTTGTCAATGACAAGAATTGGCTTGGCTCCAGTTTTGGGCTATTTGATTATTGAAGAAGATTTTAATGTTGCACTCGGAGTCTTTGCTTTAGCTGGACTTACTGATTTGGTAAGTTGTAAATGCATTCTTGTTTTTCTTCCTTCCAAATGACAGGGTCTCTACCACTGCCCCACAATAAATAGCACAGCCTTAGTCAGTTTTTCTTTGGGAGGAAATCTTCAGGTTGAATTTGATGTAGTATTTTGTGTGAGGATTTGTCTTTAGCTGTGGAACTGTTCTTTATTTGATCTAAGGAGGATGTGAGAGTTGTTGGGATGCATAGGAAGGGGTGATGTTTTTACTCTTCATATGATTTTCAACTTCTTTATAAAAGAAATACCCTTAGAAATTCCCAGCAACCAACTACTTACTTCAGAGATAAAAATAAAGGAGAGAAGCTGTGAGACTGTTTTTCTACTTGTGGTCTGCAAGGAGCTGGTTTTCCTAGAGGAAAAGAAAACAGTGCACCAGTTGCCATGGCCCAGGGAACTAGGATGTGACAGGAAGCTAGTAGAGGCCAGCGATCTGCCCACCTTCAGTGCTGGCAGGAGGCTGTAGGTTCCCTCTGAGGTTGGTCCCTGGTTTGCTCCACACCCTTTGACCACCTGCAGGAAGCCTTTGCTGGGGGCTGGACAGTGGGCCCCCTTCCTCCTCCTCCTGTCCAGCAGATGCACAAAGAAGAGAAGAGTGCTCTGGTACCATGTGTCTGCTGTGGGGGAGAGAAGGGTTATTTGTGTGTTGGGGGAGTGATTTTAGGGCAGATAGCTACATCACTGTTGTAGACTGGCCGGCTGTCATCAGGCATGACATGATAAAAGTACATGCCTTACAGAAACAGTTGAGAAGTAGGGAAAAGGTAGAGGAAACATTTCAAATAGGGGCAAGGTTAGGCTATGGAAATAGATAACAGTATCCTCTTGCTCTGGGCTGTGATCTCTGTGAGCACCTAGACCAGCAATAATATCTTGGTACCCCATCAAACCAATTTATGTTTAAAAAACTTTGCTGAGTATTCATTTAATAAAAATAGAGAGAAGCTGATTTTCTACAAATAAAAGTGGAATAGCATCTTTGTAATGTCAGCTAGTGGTTTTGAGGTTTGTAGAAATAAAATTCTACCTGCCCAGTAGCAATAACATTGGTAAAGCAATGGAGAATTAACTGAAGGTTTTATGGTGTCTCCAAATGTGCAGCAAGTGCAGCCCCTCGATAAGCACTTGATTTTCTCCAGAGCAGAGCACCATCGCTCCCCAAGCTCACAGTCTCTCGCCTCTTCTTCTGTGCCTGCTGTTACTTCTGAGGCCTGAAGCTGTCCACTTTGCTCATGTGGTCTGCAAGTTGTGGAAGGCCATTGTGCTGATAATAAAATATCCCTAACAGGCGAGCTTTTTTAGCTACTGAATTGCCCTTTTTTGTTTGTCTGCTAGTTTGTTTTGGGGAGAGTTAGCTGCCACGTTCGAGGGCAGCATTCACTGAATTAGACAGCCTCGTTAACAAACTTTCTGAACGTATAAGATGAAAACCTGAGTTACCTGACAGTTCATTCTGAGGAGGTTTTAATGCCTGCAGATTGGCTGCTGAGCAGATGGTCTGACTCAGCAGTTTCAAGCAAGGGCATAGCAGGGTCTGATTTGTACTGTATGGGAAGTGGTTGACAGAAGGTAAGTATAGAAGCAGAGCAGCTGGTGAGGAGGCTTACCTGGTAGAGAGATGGTATGAGCGTCTGTCAGGTGGAAGTGTAGAGTTGGAAGTGCATGGGTTTGGGACACTGTTTTGAAGCCAGTGTTGATTTTGAAGCCAGTGTTGATATCTTCGTGGATTAGCTATGTGGAGTGAAAGAAGTCAAACAAGAGCACTAGGCTGTTACTTTCTGGTGCAGAAGGTAACATTGTCTGGAATGGGCAATACTTGAGGTGGGACAGGGTTTAGAGAAAATGCCAGGAATTCTGATTCCTGTCATGTAGAGGCATCATTTGGAAGATTTGAGTGCAGCAGTATGGAGTTAGAGGGCATCATCATTACAGAGCTACAGATTAGGGAGGTACAGATACGGATGGCCAAGGCTGGGTGAAACATCTAGCCCAAATTAAAAAGGAGAAATGAGAGGGCAGCAACAGGTAGAAGTACTGAAGTAATTTTTTTTTTTGGTAGTTGATCAATAAAAGACAGGAAGGAAGAGATTGATGTGTAGGAGAAATAGGGAGGGAGGCAGGTCACAGAAAGTGAGGGCTTGGGATTAGAGACGAGAGGCAAAGAAGATGAGTGGATGCCACTGGCTGGTGGATTTGGTGGTGGGCATTTCAGGAAGTGCTGGCAATCCTTTTCTTTTCTTTTTTTTTCCTCCCTTAAGGAAAAGACAGCTATGATCATGGGCCAGAATGAGTGGGGAAAGTAGGAATGAAGCAGGTGTGAGAAGAGAAGGCAGATCCAGTGGGCAGCCATAGTGCTGACAGGAGCACTGAGAATCCACAGGAGATTCATGGTCACGAATCTGAAGTGAGCCCAGTCAGCCATTCATGCAGTTTTTGAGCAGCATTTGGCTGCTCGTGTGCAGGCCTGGAATGCAAGAGAGTCAGGCTGTGTGGGCTTGAAGGAGAGTGGAGGGAGCGGGCTGTACAGTAGATGTTTGCTAAGGAGTGATGACATTGATGACCTTGAAATCTAATGTGAGTTCCAGCAATAGTGAGGACAAGGCGGTGGTGATGGCTGAAAGCGGGGAGGGTTAAGTTCCCTGACCCCAGAAACTGAACTGAAAGCTGGATCTTCCAAGTCCCAGGCTCCCCACTCTAGGCACTTTCTGTTAGGTAGCATTTCATCCAGCCTACTTAAGAAGAAAATAGAGCCAGATGTGGTGCACACCTATAGTCCCAACACTTGGGAGTTGAGGCAGGGGGATTGCCATGAGTTCAAGGCCAGCCTGAAGTGCATACATGCTTCTTCAAAAAGCGAGAGAGAAAATAAAGCTTTCTAATTGTGATAATATTAGCTAGTAACTGCTTTTTTTTGAGTATTTAGTAAATACTGAGTACTGAACAAATATTAATCACATTATGTGCTGAAGATAACCAACCCTGTGAGGTGGATAACATTAACTCTGTTCCATAGAGGAACAAACCCAGGCTGCGAGAGGCCAAAGAGCATGCCCAATGCTACAGAGCTAATAAGTGACAAGCCAGGACTTGAACCAGTTCTGTTCTGCTAGAGTCCCAAGTTCTTAAGCCCTGTCCTGTGCTGCTGTTGCTTCCTTTAACTTGTTGGAAAACTGGAGAATTTTGGAGGACTTGGCCTATAAAATAGACCATGTGTAATTACATCTTAGAAATTGGAATAGAAAATCCAAACATTCATTGAAGCTTGAAGTTAAATAAGATGAATGAAAGCCAAATGGGAGCTGCGATAAGCCAGACTTGGCTGCCCTGTTTAGCAGGGACAGAGTACTGGGGTTCTGTCCTTTTCGTGGCCCCAGGGGGACCAGGTCTTTCCTTTTCTCGAGGTCAGCAGGAGATCTGGATTTTTATGGTACCATTTTGAATAGTAAACGTTGGCAACTAGTTATTATTTTTATAAGCTCTGGCAGGCCAAATAAAACCAGGCTGCGGACCCCTTTGACCCACTGTTAGCCAGCTGCAACCTCTGGTTTTAAGTATAATGTGTTTCTAGTAATAAAAACAAGTAATTAGTAGCATTAAGTAAGTCAGGTGCAGAGAATTGTTTTTTCATCCAAGTGAAGGTAATACAAATGTAGTTAGAACATAGAATTAATAGTAATACTGAACAAAAATACATTTTTAAATTGACAAATTACTTAACAGTCTAAGGAGTTGGATTATCTAATGGAAATGTAGGTGGGGTTGTGAAAGTTCAGTGCTCACAGTCCAGGGTCACCCTTATGAGTAAAGGCAACCATTCTGGCTGCAGTGAGAATAGGCCAGGACTCTATCAGTCACACTTCCTGGGTTTTATGAGTTCCTTACGTCTCTGAATTTGTGCCTGGATTTTTCCCATAAGGAGACATGGGGAAAGAGTGGAAGGCCTTGGGGATAAAGAAAAGGTAATGTGAAATTATTTTCTGAACAATTGCTAATTTAAAAGCTAAATGCATCCCAAGGGATTGAGAATGGGGGTAAGAAACATTTTATAAAAGTGTAGTTATCCTTATGTCTCTTAAACTTCAAGATATCGACTTTGTTCCTATCATGACATTTATTTAAAAAACACTTCTATTTTCAGTTGGATGGATTTATTGCTCGAAACTGGGCCAATCAAAAATCAGCTTTGGGAAGTGCTCTTGATCCACTTGCTGATAAAATACTTATCAGTGTATTATATGTTAGCTTGACCTATGCAGATCTTATTCCAGGTAAGAACGCCGTCATGCGTGCTTTTCAATAGCATAGGGACAATGACATCAGTCGGCTTAGGATTTCTTTTGAAAGACATAATTTTTGTTCCAAAAACATTTTTAAACTTTGAACTGTTTTTCTAATTTTAAACTGTTGAACTAGTTTGGTTATTTTAAAATTTATGTCTTTGTTACAACTTGTAGAAGCAGTTGTTTTCTGAGTAAGATTGTTTAAAACTGAAATTGAGCAAATATTTCACAGTGCCAATTCATATTACTCTAGAATCTTTTGGTGCTATTTATATAATTTTTAGTGCCTAGCTTTTTGAAAGTACTATAGCCTAACTTTCCTAAGTCTCTGCTTATCTTTATTAAATATAGCTTAATCATAATGAAAACTCTGAAATCCCATGTGTAAAATTTCCCATCATTATTACTAGACTACTGCACAATTTTCAAATCATGTATATAGTTTGTATATTATCTGAATACTTTTTCTAACAATATTTGAGGATCTTTTGCTTTGTGTTCTGTGTGTGTTTTACTGGTATTCATTTTCTGCTTCAGCTGTGTTTCTCAATCAGTTTTTCAAAAAGATTAAATTACTTTCCCCTAAAATTTTAGTAAAAGTGCTAGGTGTTTGGTGCTGCACATCTCTATTCCTGGCTACTTGGGAGGCTGAGGCAGGAACATCACAAGTTCTAGGCCAGCCTAGACAGCTGAGCGAGATCCTGTCTCGAAATAAAATCTAATAAGGGCTGGCGGTGTAGCTCCGTGGTAGAGTATGTGCCTAGCATGGGTTCAATCCCTAGTACTGAAAGGAAAGGGTTAGAAAAGGGATCTGAAAAGCTAGGAGCTTCTCTGTGGCCCTGGGGTGACACTGTTGACATTTGGTAGGAAGGAGCACAAGGGTGTGCCTGCCTAGTGTAGTCTCTGCAGGCTTGGTGTTCTTTGCCTTTAGTCCTCTGAGTTTTCAAAACACTGTTGTTTTTTTTTGTTTTTTTTTTTTTTTT